TTTTGCTGGCTGTAGCAGCGCTATAGCGCTGCTATAGCGCTGCACAGCAAAAACGCATAAAAAGAGGTGTAAGATAATCTCAGGCTTCGCACATAGTCAGGTGTTAGGTTCCTGAAATTTTAGCTTCTTAGCTTTCTTAATTAAATAGCTTACTTATTCAGACAGATATGCGCATAGTGCCACACATGGCAGCTTTTCTCATACGCACAAACGCAAATGAACGGCGATGTGTTACGCAAAGAATATGCAAATTTGATTAGAGAATATGTGCAAATTTGATTCTCCTCCATCAGAGTTTTGTGAATCGAAATGCAGTGAGGTGAGAAGACTAATAACAGGCCCCTAAGCCATCACAGAGCGAAGCAGTAAAATCTCAGCATTCCAAAACAGAAGCATTCAGTCAGCAGACCTCTTCGATAGCTTCGGTGAGTGGGAAGAAATTCTTCCCGAACGCTTGCTTGAACATAATGCTCGACGGTTCGATGGCAATTGAGTGCGTCAGAAACGAACGACTTGCTGAACGCATCCGCGCTTTAGCTTCCTCAATTTTTCGCGCCTCATTTCGCCTCGCAATCCAGCAAAAACAGAATCGTTGCAGAACATCGTAAAAGAGCTGAAAAAAAACACACACACAACAATCACATTTCTAATGTAAGCCAATTCATCGCACATTATAAATATGCTTGTCGCCCAAAATACCACCTCGCATCTCTGAAGCGAAGTGATACTTTGGGCTATATTGTGACAAATCACAGTTTACGGATAAGTTCAATTCCTGATTTGTTTGTTAGGTTTTCAGAGGACCTACGATTAGGTGCCAAAAATTTCGGTGAAGAATTGATTTGTTTCATGTAATTTGTGGGCTTTCCGGTGAGCAACATCAAGTACCAGACATTTCCTGGTCCGTGAAATAAAAAATTGCTTCTTGTTGTTTGAATGGATCCCGATATACATTTATTGTCAAACTGTCCAAAAAGCTGTGTAAAGTTCGCCGGCTATGCAGCGCCATTTGATTTAGGCATTTGAAACTGAACATTTCACGAAAAGCCAGCCAAGAAGTCGCCAAAAGAAGAAAAGTTTGTCTTATCTTGAGAGGCAGGTACACAGAAGATGTACTGGTGGTGTAGTGGTAACATATTACGTCCCGAAGTGAGGAGGAGTAGTTCAATTACTTCCCGGTTCAGAACAATTTTCGAGAAAGGGCTTTCATTAGACAGAACATGCAATTCTCTTAAAGAACGTTTTGCTAGCCCATACATCGGGTCTGAGAAGAGATAAAAGTTTATTTTCTTGGTTTGCACACGGTCGGATATTGCGCATTTACAGGATTTTACCTTCCTGTATTTTCTAATTGCGGAATTAAAAACACACACGCACACACACACACACACACACACACACACACACACACACACACATACACATACACATACACACAAAACAGTCATACAATAAAAATTCGCGCCAATATTTTTCAAATATTTTTACCGGTAAAATTACACGGGTGACCCGCTGTAACTTTACCTTTAATTTTCATTACCTTACTGTGCACTTATATAGTACAGATCCATCGGTCAGCCTATGTAGGATCCCATGCTAGTAATGCTACTTACTACTGCCAGGCGTAGCGATGCCAGATCTTTCGATTTTGGACTGCACATCTGCAGTCAGTACCAAATGCGTATTCTATGTATTTGTGCCACCTCCCTTCGGAGGTCGCGCAAAGTGATGATTTACTTTATAAATAAAGTAAAGATTCACCTAAAAAAGACTGTCTGGCCCTCTCGCAGCAGTTTCGATGCTTCCTACACTGCAGTATGCAATCTATGACAAATGCGCGTTTTGAAATGCATCTCACTTAACCTCATCTCAGACAAATATCCCAAAAAAAAAAAAAAAAACGCATTTCCCTTGGGCATTCCAGTGTTCTGTCTCGTTATACTTTCCTTATCGATTTATCTTTTCTTCGTCGTTTACTTGTTTTCTAATTTCGTTTGATTTATTTGCATTTTCTGCTGTGTCAGCAAATCTTTAAGCTGGCAATCCCATCAGGGAATGAAACGAACGAGAAGTTAAAGATCAGGATGAAGGCAATACTGATATGATATGTTTCAAAATCTTCAATTGTATAGTTAGCATGCCTTCCTTTGGGATTGACGATTTCCATGCTTAACTTAAAGAAGAGGTCCAGCTGTAGTGTTGAATAAGAATGTATACGACTTGAATGGATAGAAGCATTCCTGTTCATTTGATTAATTTTTAAATATTTTTTATGCTTCACATATAAATTATAAGATCAGTATTTTCATTAAGAACTAATGTCTTCATCAATAATATTTTCATTAATAAATTTGAGAAAAATTTTGCGACGAAAAATATCAGATGTGCATAGATACAAAAAATTTGTGATGTACAGATAAGTGAAACATGATTTTCGTTAGGAGGAGGAACAATAAATAGGCAAAATTTTGAAATGACAAGCACTGCGAAGAGAATATTATAGAAGGAATTTGCAAAATATTATTTTGTATTTTATAGAAAGGAAAAATTAAATGTTTGTGACCAATCAGGCTGGTGAATTCTCAGCATCATGGTACTAGCACTATCTACATTATTTGTGAGATCTGTGTTGTTGTGTATGGTACCTTTTCCAATTTTGTGAATGCGATTGGCCACTGGTTTTTATCGATATATATCATTTCGAATTAAATCAATTTAAGCCAAATCGATCAATCCATACTGACAATGGTATCAAATATCAACCACCTAGCGACGACATGCACAAAGGATCTGAGCAAACACATATTTTTGGGATAAATCTTTTTTTTTT